ATGATTGATCTTTCATTTAGCCATTTCCCAATTTTGATCAGCCCAGAGATTGTATCAGGATTTGATGTGTTAGTGAAACATGCTATGGCTTAAACCATCTATGAAGTTGTTTCAGGGATTGATCTGTGAGTTAGTTTCTACTATTAATARTAGAGCTATTCATTATTCATTATTTAAAGTACAACCTTTTTTAAAGAGGTGTAAAAAGAATTAATTTGTGGACACCTGCTTCTCTTAAAAATCATTACATGTAATTGCTTCTTCCGTGAAAATGTCTGTTTTTATGACTCATTTGCACCGCTTTGGCCTCATTTATGAATAAGAAATCCATGGATACTGTTAATATCCCATGGAATTCATAATCTTCAACCTATACTTAAAAAAAATATATTTCTAAGTGCCGGATAAAAAGTAAATATAAATATTGCAGTCATTATAAATACTACTATTTTGAACAACCCTGGAAACTACGAACTTTCAGCAGACACTGAAAATCAAAAAAAATACTTTTGATGTTCCTTCCCAAATTATTAAAAAGGCTGGCCCCCTCCATTACCTCCGTCCCCACCCCACCCCCCATCCCTAACCCACCACATAAATATATGAATGCTCCCTTACACACACACTACCACATTCAATATGAAACTTTTTTTTAAATTTTATTTTTGAGAACCAAAGGTTAAACCCTGGTACAGAGGGACAGAGCAAAACAATACATCAGCTCTTGACRTGACTGTTGGATTCAAAGTGATGAATAAGACAAATATATCAATGTTATGTCACACTTGACCCCCTTTCTGGTTGTTTAAGTCTAAACAATGAATATGTCTAAAACCAAAGTAATATTTAGGGGTATACACAGCTGTGGAGTGGTTTGGATGATGACAGTCACTCATGGCAACAGATACTGTAACCAATTACTAAAACAGTGCATGAATATTAAATTAAATTAATTATAACACTAAAATGCATGGAAAATAGTTTTTGGCATCTTCAAAGATTTTAATTAAAGAATTTATATAGAGAGTTTTCACTCACATGAAAGCAGTCATATTGTACCAAACAATAGAAACCTTCTGCAGAGTTTTTTGCGTAAAAATAGTTAAATTTCCCAAGGATAGAAAATATATTGTTTTGATACTCCAACATGGCTGCTGTTACATCACGTAAAAACACTCTATACTGTGATTCTTTAATCTTGCCGTTTAATTAATGCATTGTTTTATTGTCATTTTTAGGTAACACACCACTTCACATTGCTGTTCTTCTTGGCAGAAGAGGTACAACATATTGTCTGCATATGATGGATTAACAATAAAAACAGTGGCTTTATGTATTTAAAGAGCCCCAATAATACAAGGCTAGAAAGTTATACTGTATGGATGGTCAACAGACAGTGTTCACCCAAAATTGGCACTAGAATTACACAGAGTAATTTGCATCAGGTCCTTCTAGATTGAATTAAAAATTAGGTTGATTTCTGCAGAGGGAGGACAATAGTCCCCTTCACAGTTCCCTGCTTCATCTTAAAAGGTAGCCTTGCCTTTGCATCGAAGCGAGATAAAGGGTGAGCTTGCAATGATAGAGACCTGTGAATGATTTTCAAAAAAAAAGGTCCCTATCATTGCAAGGTCACCRTTCGTCTGGCTTCAATGCAAAGGCTKAGCTACATCTSTACCTTTCAAGATGGTGCAGGAAACTGTGAAATGGACTATTGGAGAATCTGAGGAAAACTGTTAAAGCACAAAAGAGAACCAACAAACAACTCTACTCACATATGATGCAAAGGCTGGGGATTAAACACAGGTCGCATAGGTGAGAGGCAAGAACTCTCACCTCTACGCCATCTATGCTAGGCATTCCTTCCCATGACATTSCTGGTCATCATGAATGGACAATGAACAGTCATTAGTTGTAGCCTCTGTTATACATTTCATCATGCCATTGCAGACTAGTAATTAATGTGATTGATTGGTTGATTTATTGATTTAATAAATTGTGATTTAATAAATCGTGATTTTTTTTTAGCTTTTTTTTTTTGTTTTGTTTTTTGTCTTGACCAACTGATTGAGATCCAACCAGTGTCTTTCTTCTTTTACTTACAGAGTGTGTCTATCTGTTATTGGCTCATAATGCTCAGATAAAGGTTAAAAATAATCATGGATGGAGTCCTTTAGCAGAAGCAATCAGTTATGGTGACAGACAAATAAGTATGTTGGTTATTTTAACTCTGTCCCTTTTTAGATCCTCAACCAAGTGTGTGTGTGACTACAGTTCAGGGTTCATGCTACTCYTTAAACTCCTTGAAAACTCCTTGAATTTAATTCACTTTTTCAAGGGCACTTGAAAAGCTCTTGAATCTTATGATTTTAGCTAAACTCCTTGAAAACTCCTTGAATTTAATTCACTTTTTCAAGGGCACTTGAAAAGCTCTTGAATCTTATGATTTTAGCTAAACTCCTTGAAAACTCCTTGAATTTTTGCTTTGATCATTACTTGCATGGTTCTGAAATAGATCTAGTCAGAAAGATCGGAAAATCTGTAAGTCGKCCATGTGCAAACCACCATGTAAAACCTTGGCATAGTTAGCTGAACMTACTCCTTGAAAATTCATTTTTGGGTTCTTGTATACTCCTTGAATACTGTAGTCCTTGAATTTTAAGTGGTTACCTCAGCAGTAGYCAATAATGATTGAGCTACCGAACAACCCAGGAAGCCCAATCCAAATATTAAAAAATTTTCTCCTTTAACCCCCTCCCCAATCAATGTCTAATGGACAAATGCTCATGTGCTAATTGTTAGCYGAAACAAYATTGATAACAAGGAGAAAGGTTTATAGTATCTGTGAATAAATTTTAGAGCATTTTTTTTTCAAATAATATTAGAAATTGTCACTGATTTTAGCTAGGGGTCCAGTTTTAAACTTTAAATATTTTCCCCAGTTACTTCAGTTTTAAAGAAACTCAAGGGACAGAGCAGAAATAGTATAGAAGAGAGAAGACCGCAGTTAATAGAAGCTCTCAGACAGGTCGGTATTTTGTCTTTTGTCCCTTCCATCTTCTTCCTATTACTTCTACCATCGCTAAATATTTTCCCCTTTCCTTTGTTTTCCTCTATTACTTCTGCTATCTTTTCTTCTTTTTCTTCTTTATAATTCCTCTATTTTTTCTACTTTTTGTACTATATTCCCTAAACTTCATTTATTCATTCATTCTTTTGTTCATTCATTCATTCATAGTTTGTTTCTTAGTTTTTCACAATATTTAGACAGGGACCCCACCATGTCTCCAAGGACTACTTCAATAGGGTCTTTCTCTCTTCCCTCTGCGTTTACCATCTTTCCTCACTTTTCTTTCTCTCCTTTCTCTTTTGTCTCTTTCCCTATTTTTTCCCTCTTCCTTGCTGTATATTCTTCCCTTTTCCCTCCTTTTCTCTTCTTCTCAGTCATTTTTACATCACCCCCATCATCTCTTTTCCTCTACCTCTTTCCTTCCCTTCCCCTTTCTTCTCACCTTTCTTCTCAATTTCATCCTCTTTCTCTGTCATCTCTTCTCCTACTTTCCTCTCTCACTTTTGTAAAAATTTCCTCTATGCCTCCCACCACATTYAAAGCAACAGGCTGCCTAATGATGCTTTGAGGAGGGGGGAGGGGGGGGGGGGAGAAATTGCCACTACTCAGGTTATCAAACCAATAAAAACTATTTTGTMATTATTCTTGAAATATTCTAATAATATGTTCTGAACATAAAGACCAAATGTATGTCAAATGCAATTAAAATTTATCTTTAATCATTTTCAGCTTGGAGATTTTTATGTAGAAATAGCATGGGACTTTCAAAGTTGGGGTGAGTTATACAATTTTTGATAAAATGTTTAAAGCTGTTTTGGTTGCTTTGTGCTGATCCAGACAAAAGTTATAACATGGTAATCAGCCTACCATCAACCAAATGAGTCCTTAGAGTATGGTTGCCATGTATTGTACTTTGTCTTATGCATGTATCAAGCAAACAGTAAATAAATATTGGTAACAATTTCACATAATTATGAACAAGTAGTGCTTAATTTCTGTTGTCCGTCTTTTGTAAACTTGCTAAGATGTTTTATAATTTCTAGTTCCATTGCTGTCAAGGATTCTTCCATCAGATACGTGTAAAATATATAAGAAAGGATGTTCAATAAGGTGTGTGTTGCCCACAATTCACTTACTTTGATTGATTTATTAGAGTTACAGTATTCCGCACATGAGCATTAGAGATGGATGCAAGTGAGCTAAAACCACATGCACTGCATGCATCACTCATCATCTGTATAAAGATTTTGCACATTACATGCCCATATCCATAATACAGCCCTTTGCTCTCAGAAATTGAATTCTTTTTCATGTAAAATGATTGTATTGTTCCTGCCATCCAACATGGATGCTGTCACGTGATGGTGCAAAACCATCTACATGTACATACAATTGCAAGCACATAAGGTAGAATTGGAGATAAGTGCGCAGTGCTAACAGTGAAGAATAAAAACGAGAAACACCTTTTATCACAAATACACAATCTAGATGATTTGACTCGTCATCAACTTGACAATGCACCCTTTGCAGTACATCAGAATTTAGCTCAATTTGGAGGACATAAGAATTGGTCTCCAATTCTCAAGATATTGAAATTCTTTCGTTTTGTCCTTTGACTTCACTTGCATGGGAACTATACAGATGATCGATTTTTGCAAAGGTCCAAAGGCGTGCATTCTCATCTCTGATGCTCTTGTGCGGAAGAACTCTGTGTATAGCTCATTAATGGACCGTTATTGTTTATTAGTCTAATACTACTGTAAGAGAAAATGGGGATACCTTAAAACCTTTGCAAATGTTTTTAGCCAGACCAATATTCTGGGCCGGGTTGTTCAAAGCTGGATTAGCGCTAATCCAGGATTAACTCTATAGGTCTTATTAAGAGTTAACCCAGGATTAGCACTAATTCACAGGCACGCAGCATCTTTGCAAAATACTGTAAGAAAATAGCACATTCAAAATTACAATAAATCTTTGCTTTCTGTATTTAAAACAATTCCAAGCTCTGTTCAGAATATTAAATACGGTACTTAGAAAGTGCCAAAAGCACTCAAGAAGTGTGAAGAACACTCGTACGGCTTGTGCTTCTCCGCACAATTCTTTTCTGCTTAGGTCACGCCCTGCTTGCTTTATTACTGAACGAAGAGTGGACAAAGTTGTTTTATGTGTTCAATATGATCAATTTTAGGATGGACAGTACACTTGTAGATTTTACAGATATGAAATGGCAAAGAGGAGA